TCCCAAATGGCACAATTTCATTCTTCTTTATAGCGGAGTAATACTCCATTGTATAAATGTACCACGGTTTCTTAATCCAGTCATCTACTGATGGGCATTTCGGTTGTTTCCAAGTCTTGGCTATTGTGAATAGCACTGCAATAAACATAGGGGTACATATATTTTTTCAAATTCGCGTCTTGGGTTTCTCTGGTTAAGAGTGCGAGCTCTGAGCAACAGGGTTGCCGGTTTGACTCCCAGCCCGAGCTGAGCTGCCACTGAGCTGCCAACAGGTGGCAGGATGACTCACCAAAAAAAAAAAAAAAACTACTTGACTTGGAGCTGGTGGGTCCTGGAAAAACACACTGTTCCCCAATTAAAAAAAAAAAAAAAAAAAGTGGGCCAGCCGAGTGGCTCAGCTGATTAGACAGAGCTATTTATTTGGACATGCATTCCATAGCGTGCCCGGCTTGGTGCTGGATGATGGTGACACAGAGCAGGAGAGCAAACGGACACTCTCACTGGTGCTCATAACCTGGTGTGAAAGTGACACTGATAAGTATTAAGGCATTACAATTGGGGTGAATGTTAAGCAGGAAAAGTAACTGTAATGTGGGGTTACTGACAGAGGGAGGGGTCTATAATATTTAGACTAGCAGGTTAAGAACAGCTCCTGTGAAGATGTCAGATTTTCACTGAGAACTAAAGGGTGAAGAATAAGGCAGAATGTTCCAGTCAGAGGCAACAGTGCATTTCAAGGCCCTGGAGTGGAAGAACTGAGAGAAGGCCAGTTTGACCAGTGAGGCAGGAGGGGCAAGTGAGGAGAGGAGGCTGGAGATGGTGCAGAACCTGGTAGACCCCTTAATGATATTGGTCTTTGTCACAAGACTTGGAGAAGTCATAAGAACATCAAGCTGGCTGATTTGGTTAGCTTTGCATTCTTAAATAATCACTTTGATGTTTAGAAAAGAATGGGTAATAGTGAGGCCGCTAGGGAAGCAGGCACAGCATGAAGTGGCCTCACTCGCAGTTACTGAGGTGTGAGATGATGGTGGCTCAGGCTAGAGTCACGTGTGGAGATGGAAAAACATGGGTGGATGCTTTGCGTGTTCTGGAGCCATACTCTAAGGACTTGACTGTGGGAGCTGGAGTCCCAGTGAAGGACGGGGTGGAAATGAGCCAGCACAGGGTGCTCACTCCAGAGGAGAGAGGAAAACAGGATCACAGAAAGAGGAGGCAACAACAGCCTAGGAGGGCTTGCTCTCGTCACAGTGAAGGCTAGGGCGATCTTTAAAGCACAAAAGAACCCATGCAAAGGGCTAGAGGTACTGGAATGGAAATGGTGCTTATAGGAAGGAATCGCTTGAGGGGGGAGGCTGACTTCAAAGACAGAGGATTTTACCAGGAAGTAGAGTTCTTTTACCTCTGGGACTAATTGGAAGACGGAAAGAGATCTGACATCAGGAGTCCTGAGGTCTAGACTGGTCAGCCACCAACTAGCCACGTGAGTTCAGCCAAAGCACTTATGCTCTGAAGCCCAGTCTTGACCTCTAGGAAATGAAAGGGTTGGCCCAATGGCTATTTCAGGGTGACCTTAACAGAGGCCGAGGGGTCCTGGGAGCCACCTGCAGGGCTACTGCAGAAGGAGACCACTTCCACCCTTTTTACATATTGGCCCCATGTGAGATTTCATAGAAAGAAAGCATTCTGTAACTTGATAAATGCAAACCACAGATCCAGGTGGTACCTAACAGTTCCTCCCAGCTCTCAAAGCCCACAGTTCTGTAAAGACTATGAATCAGACACAGGCTCTGATTGGAGTCATACCAAATAACCTATCACCTCATCACAGAAAGTGAGGCTAGGGATCCTAGGAGCATGAAGGACAGCACAGGAGATTCAGACGAGTGAGTCACCAGGAGGTCACAGATTGCTGAGCCATGCTAAAACCGCAGTGGAGGCTGACATCGTAAATGTGGAGTCAGCCTGCAGAATAACTCGGCATATTTTTTGGCAGGCTCTGTAGCCTGGAAGCACTGAAAACATACAGTGGTTCGAACCAGGGTGGTAATTTGCCAAGCAGGCCCAGCAGAAGGCCCAGGCTGTGTGGGAGTCTGTGTGGTGTGGAGGGCAACACAGACACGATGGTGGTCCACACTGAGAGCTTGAAGTCAAGCCTGACATTAGCCTGGGAGCTCGGGGAGATTGAGTGACTGGGCAGGCCCAGCACTGGCAAAGACGGGCACAGTGAGAGAGCAGGGGGACAATAGAGAAGGAGACTCTGGCCAGAGAGGTGGAGCAGCTGAGGTCAGTGCCTAGCACCTGCAATGACAAGGTCCAGAGTTTGATCGTTCTCGTAATGACAGCTGTGGGGGTGTTGCAGTTGTGGAATCAAGGTTGAGCCAGACATGTGTCAACCTGGATGGTGACTACAGTGCTATCTGATTTATGTTAAAGAGAAGTTGGGATGTTCGGGGAAATACTGTTTCACATGGCAGGTAATAAACATGGTGCTCATTAGGAAGGGCAGAGAAGCTGAAAATATAAATAGCTCCCAAGAAGTTCAAATATTTGTCAAATAATAACAAATGCAATTGAGTAACTAAACAAAACAAAAAGAGTTTTGGGTTTGTCTCTAATTTGGAACCTTAATATCAACAAAGAAAATCATGTTTTCCTAGAAGTTTTGTCTTGGAGGCCTGGGCAGAGAAAGCATCTTGGAGTGGATGAACTCTAGGTACAACCCAGTAGGACTGTTCTGCTGGTCTTGTGTGTTAGATGCTAACTTTCTCCACCTGCCTGCTCTTTAAGAACCCCTTAAACACTAGATAGAGTTTATAGAATAGAATAGAATACAATACAATACAATACAATAGAAGGTAAAAGGCTGCTGAGAATGGGGTCCTTCTTTTTTATGAAGTGGGATCCTACTGTTGACCCCCACCTATACTGAGGAAATGGAGGACATTTAAGCTTTACAAGAGTTGTAACCTCCGCTTTCCAAGGGCTGGGGTTTTCCTTTGTCTCCAGACACATGCCACTTAAGCAATAATACTCTCTTCCCTTCTCAAGTTGGGGCATCTAAGTAATATGGTACTTTAAAAGGGATGAATGTTTTGGACCCAGAAAGCCTAACATTAAGCTGACAATTTCCTGAGAACAGCAACAACAACAACAAAAAATTAGTCTTCAAGTGTAGTGTCCAGGGTTATATTGGGTTGTCAGAAAAGTCATGACGTATTTTTTCTATGTTTTTCGTTGCAAAAATGCATCATTGACTTTTCCGACAACCCAATACATCAGGACTTGTAACTAAGTGGAAAAGAAAGTCCTGCTCCATTTCCTCCTCTTCAGAATGTGCCAGAATGCCAAGTAAGGACCCATGGCATTGACCATGCTTGAACTCAGGCATGGTCCTCATTTCAAACAGCCCCACTTAACGTGATGCTCCCCTGTGCCTGCATCCCAGAGTAATTTCCTTGGGAGATATGCACACCCAGATTTTGGCTTCCCCATGTGGGAGCTTTTAAGAACCCACTTTTGCTTATGACTCACTTGGACTGAGAGAGCCTTACGGGGAAGGGCCTGTGGTTTGCACTGACAGGCACCTCAGAGAGGGTCGCTGAGCCATTTCTGAGAGCAGGCTTGGGCCCAGGCCAGGCTCTATAGACAGAGTCACAAGACCAAAGATCATGTTTGTTTACACTGGCTTATATTTACAACAAGGAGAGTCAACTGCCCAAAAGCAAGCCTAGGGAATACCCTGAAGGTGCCCGGCTCAGTACAGCCCTGCTGGAGAATAGAGCACCCCGATTCCCCATCCCCCATTTAGCACCTGGAAAACATTTGTTTCCCCCATTAAGCTGTGGCTTTAAATAAAAATGCAGCCCTTGGCTCCTGGTCCCCCTCCCACACACTTTGTTAACATGTGATTAAGCCCTCCAGCCCTAGCAGGCAGTCTTCGGAGGCGGGAAGAGGTTATTAGCTAACGGTTCAGAGCAGTAAAGGCACTTGGCTCAGATTCTCAGTGCCCCAGAGATATAATTATCTCATGCTCGATGGCTTTGCCACCTGTCACATCTTCTGGTTTAATTTTTTTAATAAAAAATAATGAGAGCAGTTGTTTTCTTGCTGTATGACAGAGCTCGCTTTGTGCTAAGCTGGCACAACACGGGCTTGCAGCAGTCAACCCCCAACTCCCCACTCCTGTCCTGTCTCTGCATCTCTCTGCCTCTCTAATGCAGTCTCCATCCCTGTCTCACCTCAAACTTACATTCTGCATCTTTCCACATGTCCATCTGAGCATGGCCGCTCCACCTACAATGTCTCCAGTGTTTGCTCCGTCAGTGCCAAAGCCTTTCTGACACATTGCCTTCAATTTTGTCTCAACATTATCTCCCTCTCCCCCTGCTCCCTGCTCTCTCTCTCCACCTATCTTCTGCCCTCCTTCTGCCCGCCTTCCCTCCATCCCTCCCCCTTCTCCCAGCCTGCCCCTGTCCAGCCTTCCCTGCCCTCTCCTATATGAGCCAGGGAGTGTCAGGGTCTCCTTGAAGTTTCTGCCTTTCAATGGACCCCGCTGCCATATGATGACCCTTCAAGTCAGCCATGAACACACCTGCCCTGTGCTTCTGTCCCAAGGTCCCCTGGGTCTTCAAGCCTACACGTGCCTGTCAGCATGCTGGCTTTCTCCTCAGGACCCATGACCGTTTCTGTAGGCCCAGTTTGGTGCCCTTGGGTCAGGGCTATAGTAGTGTCTCAGTTTCCAGCTGGCTCCTTCTGCTCATCTTCACTTTATACCTGGCTTTGGCCGTGCTCCTGTTCAGAGAGCAGTGGGATCTATGCCAACATGTTCCTGCCTGTGGCTCTGGCTGGTGAGATCCTCCATCTGCAGGAGAGGCCTTCCTGGCCTCTGTGGCTCTTCCCAAGGTTCAGCATTCCTAACATGCTGCCTAAGCTGACCCCATGGAACCGGCTGGGGGATGCTCTCCATCTCCACATTCAAATGTACAAATGCACCAGGAGATGCTGACAAATAGGGCTCTCTCTCTCTGGGGTTGTTCTACGTCACACCGGTGACATGTCCGTCTAGGGCCCATATGTAGTCAACTGGGGACATCAAACGTCTCTGGCATCGCTGAACATCTCTGATATGGAAGAAAATGTGTCATTTGCTAACATCTCCTTTTTCTCTTCCAGCCACCGGATCTCCAAGTCGAAGTTCAGGTGAGTGAGATCTGTTCTTTCCTTCTGACCGCCAGCTCTATCCCAGCCACCATTGGGGGGATCCCATGGCTGTACCTTCCAGGTGGGCAATAAAGTGAGGGTGATTCTTCAGAGCAGGTAACTGCTCTCTTTTGCATGGCTGTCAGGAAGAGGCTTTGGGGTCGCATCAAGCCAATAATCCAGGGATCGATATTTGTTGAATTAGCTTTGTCCGTGTTTTTGGCAGCACCATCCCCAGGAGGCTGTGAGACCTACTGTGTCTCCCTCTCTTATAAGACGAAGTCCAGTTAAAATAAATATAACATGGACACTTGCTACTATTCTCCACTACTTCCTGTTCATGAGACCCAGTGTGCGTGAACTTTAAGGATTATGGGAAACACAGCATCGCACACTGTCTACTCCAGAACCTTCCTCAGGACTTTCCGCCCCCTCCTGCCTTTCCAGGCTCACCTTCCACACTTCCCTGCACATAACCTTTGTTGCATTTACCAGAATGTTCCCTGTCCCCTCATACACCGAGGCCTCTGCATGGAGTCTTCCTTCTACCTGAATCATCGTGCCCCCATGCCTTCGCCTGGAGAACCTCCAGTATTACCATACCTGTGACATGTTCTGCAAATTCTGCAGGGGACGGTACTCACCTCCCTCTATTCCCACAGTGCTTTGCTCATGCTTCTATCACAGCACTTGCCATACCACACACCGATTATAGGCTCCTTGGCCTGTTTCCTACAGTAGGCTCTGCCTGCCTCAGAGGTGTTACTTCCACAGCCTCTGTCTAGCTAAATGCCTGTCCAGTGGTAAGCTGTTTGTACACGTTGCTGAATGGATACGTGGATGGATATATGGTGTAGGGATGTGAATTTACTCCCACAAAGCTTGTACATGCCAAAAAATATTCGTGGTTTATGTTTCATTACTGATATAATCTTGCTTCCCTAGCCTCACCTACTGTGTAGCAGGAGCATAACTAACACTGAATTTCAGTCCAGCTGAGTAAATGTAGCCCAATGCTGTATTTTAAATAGTCCCTTAAGGTAGAATGTTCAGTCTCTCATATTCCCTCTTCCCAGTTCCTCTCCAGCCTGGAACCTGGATGCATGGGGGCAGGGAACTTCAGAATCCCAAGGAGCCAATAGGGCTTGTGAGGACTGGTCCTGGAAAGCCCCTGAGTCCTCGCATAATCTGAACTGCTCCCTGCTGAGGTGCAGCAGGTCCATCTGGTTTGGGCATCCACCACTGGAATCTCTGCTCCCCCATATTTGCATCTGATCTTGAAATCTCCACCTGTGTTCCCTGACCCCACCCCCCAAGCTCTGTTTGTCCGCTGACGTTAGCACCTCTACACCTCATGTGAGCGCACAGATACTTCCAGGCCCCTCACATCCCATGAACGAACCATGGGGACCTGGGGCACTAAGCAGGCTCACCCACCTACCTGCCTTCCCCACTGTCTCTGAGCCAGCCTGGACAAACTCTAAGCCGAAGAGGGACATTCTCCCAGGGACCTGCAGATCCTATACTACACCCAGTAGAGGCTACTGACTAGCCCCAACTTCTCCAAGCCTCCCCAGGACTATCTGGGTCCTTCTAAAGCAACCCTGTAAGCTACTGAGGCTGGACACCAAGGACCCTGTTGTCTGACTCCTCCTCTACTTTTGACACCTTCTTTCTCTCATATTCCAAGAAAACTGAAAAATGCAGGCTTTTCTCCCCTTCCTCTTTCTCTCAAGCCAAGACCTCCTTTACATAACAAATCTGGGGTCCAGTCTACCAGGCCTGGCTCTTAGTACATGAAAGAGAGTTCAAGAAATGTAAAAGGCCTTTCTTACAATAAGGAATTTTGCAACATTTGGGGCTCGCTGTTCAGAATAGGATTTAAACAATTATGGAACAAATGATTCAGAAAGTCTCCTACAGCTTGAAGGGATTAATCAGATAACCTGTTAGAGTTTCCAGATCTCGACTTAACCGAGTTCTGAAGTGGACCCCACGGGGTTCTAAAATTTTGGAGGACCATCTCGCCCCATATTCAGTGAAATGTGTCTCCAATGTTCCCTTTACTTCTGCCATCCCATCAGCAATAAGACACATACCCGAATTTGCCCCAATTGCTAACCGTCCATTTTTAAGTTACTTAGGTATCAAATAATTAAATTTAATGATTTTCTGTGGTGCTTGTTTTCAGTTCTGCTAAAGAAAAGATAGAGTCTTACAATAGCCACTAAAAAGACTCTGACGTGTCTACCATTTGATATTGTCTACCCTTCTAGATGCCTGTCAAAAATTACATGCCAAGCAAACTTTTTAGGAGCACTGCCCTCTCCTCATACCCACCCTGATCCCTGGGACACAAAATGCCTGCAACTTTCAAGCCTTGTCTTCAACAAGGACTGACTAAATCTGCGTAGAGTTTGTCTCGGCTGCTCTACCAACCTTTCAGCAAACATTTCTACCATGTGAGATGGACTGCACTAAGTACTGTGGGTCTGTGACAAAGTGCCAGGCACTGAGTTGCCTCTGGGAACCTTGGCTGAGCCTCCATGATTGGAGAGGATGCTCTTTGATGTACTCCATGGAACCTCTGCTAAGCCCACCTGGGCAGTAAGCCCACCTGGGCACTAGGCGTGTTTGCTTAGTGATCTGTATCACCCCATGAGTTTTATGCAGACAAAGACTGTCTCATGTTAATGTTGAATATCTAGCACCTAGCCCATGGTAGGTGTTTAGTAAATATTTCTTAAATGAGTAATGCAGACAATAGTGTAACAGGAGTTCTGAGCCTGGGAAGACTAGAAAAGTTCACCACAGAGAAGCTGGGATGGACAAGACATAGAAGGGGGAGAGGCTGAGAGTTGAGGGGACAGTCCATGTAGATGGAAAGGCAAGAGCAGGGACCAGTATTGGGAAGAGGTAAGGGGGATCCGGGATGATTGAGCAGAAATCTCCCATGGGAATGCAACGATGCAGATGTTTGAAGAAGTAGATTACACACCTTCATATCCATTTTTCTCTTATGTCTACATACGGGAAGTTCTATTTCTAGAGTAAATGACTTTTCCAGCTAGTGTGTAGGGAACATGAGTAGCAGGCACATTTCTCCTCCCTATTTTATCATTTAATTTCTATATCCTCCATGCATATGTAAACACAAATAAATTTACACATTCTAATAAACCATTACCTTTATTATACAGTAGGAAGCGTTGCCAGGAAACCAGTTGTCAAGCAAAGCTATATTTTAAGGAGTGGGAGGTATATAATTATCTTTAAATACTTTCTCTGGGTAGTAATTAGCCCCACCCCCACCCCAGCCCCAATCTGTGTGACTCTACTGAATGGCTATGCACAGGAACAGCAAACTCAGCAAATACTACCTATGATAGCCACTCCTTCAGGGTTCCAGCAGAGCAGTTCCAGAACCATGGGACACACCTGACCACGTGGCACCCTGCAGCCACTACACTGAACGTGGGGAAAGAGTAGCTAAATCAAGTTTTCTGCATTAAACTGATTCCAAGTCAGCTCCTCCATACTGTAAAAGAATGCAGACTTGATTCCTTTGGACTTTGAATAACAAGTATCAGTGATTTCTGTAACGTGAGATTGTATCTATTTAAAACATATTCTTTGAAACTACAATGTAAGCTATTTAAGATCAGATATGAGTTTGTCCTGAAAATTCATTTTTAAGGGAAAAAAAATGTGTTACCAAGTTTCTCTACAATATTACTAACCACAATAACAGGAAAGAAGCAGAGCCATGTCTGGGGGGAGATAAGACACTTCAGTACCGAGGTCTGGCCACCTCCTGAGGTCGTGCCCACTAAGACCCCTTGTCCCCTTCCTTTGCCCCTCCCTTCACTCTCCCTGTCCTTACTCTTACCCAGTATGTCTGGAGGATGTCAGTTTCCCCAAGTGCATTTGGAAACCATGATTTTACGACCCTGAGGCATTTCTTGTCTGTGTAGTGAATTTCCCCCAAGTAGCAGATAAGAAGTGTCCCCTACAAAGGCGTGGTGCCCACTCACTGAAGAGGGCATTCCAGCACCCGACCACAGTGATGGAGGGTCAGAAGTGAATACTACCCAATGAAACTTCTCTTCTCTCCCTGTTCTGTAACCCAAAAACTAAGTGCTCCCTGCAGTTCTGAGGAAACCGTACCCTCCATAGATATGCTCCTCACTTTTCTAATCTCATTACAGATGTTAACAAAGGTTTGATAACAGGATTTTCCACTGACAGTAGGTAAAAAAAATGAGAGTAGAAACACAGATGAAGTCAAGCTATCCCAACAGGCAGTTTGGAGTGGGTGAAGGGATCTGTCACAGCAGAGGCCTACCTCCCTGGAAACCTAGAGTACAGATATGAATACAGATTTGCATGGACAATTGCTCCAAGATTCTGCTTTGTTTCTACCCCCCACACACACTTCTTTATTACCCCAACCTTCTTTATTTCTCCCCTGTGTTCACCTACCTGGTGGGTCCCTTGTATGAACTGCCAGCATGTCAAATGCATTTCCTGAGCTGAGCACCCCACCTTTCTCCTCAGTGGGACCCCTCTGCCCAGAGCACTATCTCTCCTTGTCTGTACCTCCATTGGTTGGAGGTGCCATCTCCCACACCACCCCAGCTAGAAATTTGGGCTGCCCCTTCCATACCTTTCTCTCTTACCCAAGGCCACAGTCAGGCTCAAAGGCCTAGTGATTTTGCCTCCAAAATTGGTGTCAACTCAGTGTCCTCTTCTCCACGCATAAAGCTACTGTCTTCATCATCTCCAGCCTGGATGGCTGAAAAAGTATTCTTCACACTGTTCCTGATATAGAAGTTGACAGAGTGGTGGTTTTTATTGTTTGTTTGGCTTTCTCAGACCAAATCCCATCGTGCCATCCTCCCTCTCGAAATCCTCAGGGAGGCCTCTGCCTCTCCCTCCCAAGCACCCCTCCAGCTTCCCTTTCCTTCTCTCCTTTGCACAGTATCAACATTTTTTAAAAGTTTGGTCAATGGAGTTACCAAATATAGCTACATATTTTCTTGTATCATGAGGATGAAATCAGAGATAAGCTTTAAACCCCTCCACCATAGAATTATAAAATGTAACTGTTTCTTTGGGATCATCTAATAATGGTTCTCAGCCATGGTTACATATTAGAACTACCAGGGAAACTTTAAAAAATAGCAGTGGGTTTTTGTGTTTTTGTTTTGGGGATTTTTTGTTTGTTTGTTTGCTGTTTTTTATGTTTGTTCATTTTTTTGTTTTTGTTTTGTTTTGTATTTTAAAAATACCCAGTCCCTAGAAAATCAGATTTAATTAGTTTAGGCTTAGGACCTAGGTATTGGTCGGGGGTTTTTTGGTTATGTTTTTAAGCTTTCCCAAGTAATGCTATGTGCAGCCAGGTTTGAGACTCACAGACAGAAGTCCCTAACCAAGAGACCATGGGACCCTTATATGGACGATGGCTGAGCTTCATAGGGCCATGTGCTGCCTGAGCTTGTATGTAGAGGTGTGCTTGTGTAGGGGTGCCCCATTTTTCTGAACAAGGGATCTAAACATCAGATTCTCAAAAGACTCTGAAACTCCAAAAAAGCAGAGAACCTCTGATCCAGGTTTGGCCGTACACTTTAAAGGTGAGACATCATAGAATAAGGGCGAGAGACAGGCTGGGAGAAAACCGGGGCTGGCTCTGCCACTGTGCAGTACTGGTTAGGGACTTAACGGCCATGGCCCTTAGCTTTCTCCTCCTCAAAATCAGGAAAATGCCTCCTTGCAGAGCTATTTAAAGAATTAAGGAGAAAGCATGAGAAGTGCCTAATTATGGTATCGAGCCTACATGAGGTCTCATTAAGGGTATCCATTACTAGTCCTAATACTACCATCATTACTAATAATACTCCTAATGCTTGCAGTCCAATACTAATAATGCCATTAGTATAAAATAAAAATATTTCCCATTTTTTGAGTACCTTCAACTTTATGCTACAGATTATATGGTATTCCATCAATCCAGCAAAAACTCTGTGAGTTTGGCCCTTTTCCCATTTCCCGTAAGAGAACCGAAGCTTAGAGAGGAGCAGAGACATACCCAGGGCCACACAGTTAAGTGGTAGCACCCAGTTAACATAAGGAAAACTTGCCTCCTTGCTACCAGGTTGCGCTGATCTAGGGAGGCCACCCACGTTAGTTAAGAAGCCAAAGAAAGCCACCGTGGTGCCTTTCGGATTGCAAGGAACCTGACTTTCACAGCTGCCTCTTTCCCACCCTTCTCTCCCGCCCTCTTTCCAGCCGCTACTGGCGCCGGTGGAATCGGTTCTGCAGGAGGAAGTGTCGCGCCGCAGTCAAGTCCAATGTCTTCTACTGGCTGGTGATTTTCCTGGTGTTCCTCAACACGCTCACCATTGCCTCAGAGCACTACAACCAGCCCCACTGGCTCACAGAAGTCCAAGGTGAGAAGCAGCCCCTGGCGCAATCCTGGGTACTCCAGCCACCTCAGCCTCGAATCCCAGGGAAGAGACAGCCACAAGCAGAAGGTGGATGGGAAAGCAGCCAGTGGCCACAGCTATTGGCAGGCGCCATGCCGGGGACACCAAGGGCCTGGCAACCCACAAGCCCCACAATAAAATGCACAACCTTGTTATAAACAGACGTGGCTCCTGGCTGGGTCCACACCATCTGCCTGTCCCAGTGGTCACTGTTGGGCCCAGGTGACAAGGATACATGCTGCTGCTTGTTTGGCTATCTCACATCCTTGGCTGCCAGCTTCCCAGAATGGATTTTCAACTCTTCAGGCTTTCTGATTGCCTCCAGCTATGTCTGGAGGTAAGTCCAGGTGGGCTTGCCGAATATGTGAGGATGAGTTAAGCAAACAGTCAGGGAGAGGACAGTAGTGGCCTGAGCACAGGGAGCTGTCCCTGATGGGTGTTCAGTGCCCATGCCCTTCCCTGTACCCCTAGCAGAGGACCTTACAGCCAGCACCTCAGCACCACTCCCAGGGAGTCAGGCAGGCCCAGGGGCTGCATCCCAGAGCCCGGGGCAGTAGCCAGGCTTCTGTGCAGCAGGAAGATTGCATGGCCTGTCTTCATCTCTTGGCTGAATGGTTCCGGCTGATTACTGATCTGTCTGGACTTAGCTTCTTATCTCCGATAATTGGGCCTGATGACAGTAATACCTACTCACAGAGCTGCCCGGAGAAGTAGAGAAAATGAGACATGCAAAGCGTTTGATGTGTGGTCCATACAGTAGTCCCCCCATTCACAGTTTCACTCTCCAAGGTTTCTGTTACCTGTGGTCAACCGTGGTCTGAAAAGATTAAGTGGCAAATTGCAGAAATAAACAATTCATAAGTTTTAAAACTGCATGCCACTCTGAGTAGTGTGGTGAAACCTCACACCCTCCCACCCCATCCTGCCGGGACATGACTCCTCCCTTTGTCCAGTGTCTCCATGCTCTATCCGCTCCCTGACCATTAGTCTCTTGATTACCGGACGGACTGTTACAGTATCTCAGTACTTGTGCTCAAATCACCCTAATTTTATTAATAATGGCCCCAAATCGCAGGAGTAGTGATGCTGGCAATTCAGATATGCCAGATGGGAATCATAAAGTGTTTCCTTTAAGTGAAAAGGTGAGTAAAGTACAATAAGTTATTTTGAGAGAGAGAGACAGACAGAGAGAGAGAGAAGGACCACTTTCACATATATGGTTATAATTGTTCTCTTTTATTAGTTATTGTTGTCAATATCTTACTGTGCTTTATTTATAAATCAAACTTTATCATAGATGTGTATATATTGGAAGAAACATAATATACATAGAGCTCATCAGTACTATCCAACTATCTAAGTTTTCAGGCCTCCATTGGGGTTCTGGAACATATTCCCCATGGATAAGGGGAGACTGCTATACTTGATAAATATTTATTGTGATTTTAACCCCAAGCCCCTTTCCAGTCGATTTGGCCCTCATTGCTCTGTTCTGGTGGCAGTGGATAGTAGAGGTGTGCTGGCTGGGAATGAAGCACTGGGGTTTTTCCTGGTGGTGAAAATTACTGTGCTTTCTTTCTCCTCTGCCCTTCCTCTCTCCTCCCACCTGTGTGGGTCCCACCCCCACTCCTGGCCCTCCCAGACACGGCCAACAAGGCACTACTGGCGCTCTTCACTGCGGAGATGCTGTTGAAGATGTACAGCCTGGGCCTGCAGGCCTACTTCGTGTCCCTCTTCAACCGCTTCGATTGCTTCATCGTGTGTGGGGGCATCCTGGAGACCATCCTGGTGGAGACCAAGATCATGTCGCCCTTGGGTATCTCTGTGCTGAGATGTGTCCGGCTACTGAGGATATTTAAAATCACAAGGTATTTATTTCCCCTTGGACACAGGACTCGGAGAAGTTCTTCTAAATGGCGGGGAGGCGGAAAGGCCTGGGTGGGGAGTAGCTGCTGTTTCTAGATGGCTCATATACAATGGAGTGGAGCTTTCATTTATTTAAGTGGCATATCATTTAAAATCCTTTGGCTGCTAATGCCAGAGACTCAGCTCATTGCTGTAAGTAAATTAGGGATTTGTTGAGTCACATAAAGGAAGTCCAGAGGTGGGCAGCCCAGGTGGCTTCAAGAAGGCATTGGGGACTCAGAGTCCTTCTGTCATTTGCTTGGCCATCCTTAGGCCTGCCTTCTACCCCAAGGTCACAAGGTGGCTCCTAGAGGTTGAGCCATCATGTTCAAATTCGAGGCAGGAAGAAGTAAAGGGGGGCAGGGGAAGCAAAGAGGACACCCATGCCACTGAGACAGCCCCTTGCAGAGCTCCTCCGGAAACTCACCAAAAGCTTTGTGCTCACGGCCACCCCAGCTGTGAGACAGAGGTGGCCTTTAGCTGGGTGTGTGCTGCCACCAATGCAGTCAGGATTCCCTAACTGAAGAAGGCTGATGCCATGGATGGCTTTCACCCCTCCTTCCACACATTCCCCCTCTCCATCTGTCCATCCTCCCACCCAAAGACTAGTCTTCCTGACTCTCCAGGTCAAGCCGTCATTCTCACATACAGGAGAAGCAGGGGTCGGGGAGTGGGAAGCGTGCTTTAGGACAATAATTGTCAACTGTGTTGTTACCCATTTTGGATGATGCAATCAGCTTGTTGGATTACAATCATCATATATATATTTTTTAATTTTATTGAGGAACAGCCACGGTCATTGGTTACACATTGCTTTCATGCTACAATGGCATAGTTGACTCATTTAAGGAGGGCGCAGCTCACAGTGGCCCATGCAGGGATTGAACTGACAACCTTGGTGCTATCAGCACCACACTCTAACCAACTGAGGTAACCAATCATCCCTTACAACCATGATTTTTAAACAGCTTTATTGAGATATAACTCACATACTAATAAATTCACCCCTTTAAAGTGTACAATTCAATTTTTCTATACAGAAGGTGCCCAAAAAAAGTATACACATTTTAAGAAAGAAAAACTGTATTAAAATTGTAATACTCAATATATACTGATAACAAAAGATGAATACAAGTCACGTTTGACTTCTGCAATTAAAAGAGGTGCACAAAGTGGTTACCATCAGCATCCAGACACTTTTGATTTTGGCAAACTACTGCTTGAGCAACGTTGACCAAAGTGTCCACTTGTACACATTTTTTGGCACCCCCAGTATATTCAGTTTTGCAGCCATCACCATAATCTAGTTTTAGAACATTTTCATCACCCCAAAAATAGACCCCATACCCACTCCTCATCCCCAGCCCCCACCTCCCCCACCTTCCTTCCATGTAACAACCAGTGATTTACTTTCTGTCCCTGTAGATTTGACTCTTCTGGACAATTGATCTAAATGAAACCATATAATATATGGTGTTGTGTCCCTGGTTTCTTTCATTTGACATAATGGTTCAAGTTTCCCCCACATTGTAACATGCACTTCATTCCTTTCTATGGCTGATAATATTCCATTGTAGGGATATACATCCCATTTTGTTTATCCATTCATCAGCGGGTGGACATTTGGTTTATTTCTACCTTTGGGTACTGTGAATAATGTAGCTATGAAGCATTGATGTTCAAGTTTTTTTGTGTGGATATATTTATTCATTACTTCTGGATATATACTTAGAGGTAGAATTTCCATGTCATTTGAAACTCGATACTTAAGATTTTGAGGAAACGTCAAATTGTTTCCCAAAGGAACTAGACCATTTTACATTCCCACCAGTAATATGTAAAGCTTCTAATTTTTCCACATTCTCATTTTTAATGAAAGAATGAAATAGAATAGGAAAACAGCAGAAGGCCTCATATGACCATACACATTTTTTCATAGAAAGCTTTGAGATATATATCTGAGTTGCATTATATATTTCTCACTGTGGGGTAAAAACACCTGGAGAGGAGGGGGGTGAAACTATGCCACCAGAGGTGTAAGCCTTCCCTCCTGAAGAATCCCTGCTGTGGGAGGCTGACTGAGGCCAGGAGCACTGAGACCAGGAGCACTGGCTGATTGTGTTGGGAAAGGTGGGGGAGGGTGTCTTTCTTTCAGGGACCTGGGGTTAGCCATCCCCTGCTCAGAGTTCTGAGTATGAGTGAGGGAGTCACCTGGGGCTCATACAGCACCCCCAGGTCTTACTGTTCTCACCACAGTTACTGTTCTCGTCTCAACAGCTACCCCGTGCACACTGGTTCCTGTGTTGTTGTCATGGGTCAAATGGGAAAAGGCATTTAAGTGTTCGATTAAGGATCCGGCACAGGAGACATGCAGCAACTGGAGGATTTATTATTAATCTAAGTATAATTGCCGTTGTTATTAGGAGACTGAAAAAGGAGAAATGAGCTAATGGTGGTATACACATACACACTCTCTTACTTTTATTTGTTTATCCACTACGTACATACTGTGTATCAAGCCCTGCGGGTGGGAATTGGGAACAGGAGAGCGCCCCTGGGGAAGGTTTAATATCAGACAATAGACTCAAAATATATGCAGAATTTAAATCTACAACATTCCAGAGTAACAACCCCCTTCCCTGCCCCGCTCCTCCCCCCCCAAAAAAGAGCTCTTTCTGAATGCCCTGAATATCTTGGCATTACAGAGAATTCCCGATTTAAAATAAAAGTAGTAGAAATGTAATAACAATCATTGTTAACAGGCATCAGTGCTTAATCTGTGCCAGACAGTGTGATTCAAATGCTTACCCGTGTTTGCTCCATTAATACTGACAATTACCTGTAAGAGAGGATGAGGGCAGTCTACTATTATTATTCCCATTTTGCAGATGAGAAAACTGGGCTTAGAGAGTTAAGTCACTGGCCCAAGGCCACACAAACTGCTCAGGAGCAAAGCTGGGAATGAAAGGCAAGCCTGTCTGCCTGACTTCAGGTCTGACCTCAGGTTCTGTGCAGCCCCTGACCATGAACTGCAGAGGTGACGGCTAAACTGCCTTGTTGTCTATGTCCCTTAGACAGGACTTCAGGGATTTCTAGCATACAGATTCTTGCTGTTAGATAATTGCTGATTCTGCTTTCTCCTCCTGGGGTCTGGTAAAAGCTAGTTTTAATTTGGAATTTCTAGTGCCTCTTAAATAATTCTCAACAGTTCATGTGTTTGGGTTTTGTTTTTGTTTGTTTTTTTAATTCCTATAGAAAAGAATTTTTGCTCCTAGATATCATCATAGCATCTTAAAGAGATTTAACATTCTATTTTTAACCAACTTATCTATTTCTAATCTGAAACTATTGCCAAGAAATTAATTTTTTAAATCTGTCTTTATCAGAGAGCTTCCCATAGTCCCTCTGCGAGAAAGATGAGCATTATTTTCAGATCTCTACAAGCTCTATAAACAGAATAATTTCATTATCTCATTGGAAGGACTTTGGCTAAGGCCACGATCTCCCCGTTTTCCAGCCTCCAAACCCTCTTAGGGTTTTTGGAAAACAACAGAAAGGCTAACTGTGCCAGGGAATCCCATGCTCCCACTGAACCTTGTCTCTAGTAAACTCTAGAGACCAAGAAAATGCCTAAAATATGGGCTAGGAGTGGACATTAGGGTCCCTGGAGACGGATCATCTGTGCATGAGCCCGCCATCAAACAAGTGAATTTCTCCCTCTTCTTTTAAAATCTCTGAGAGAATAATTTGTGATGTCTCACTGCTATTTTTTACAGTGTATTCTGAACCAGTGATTGTGATTCTCAAACTTTTTTGAACTTATTAAGGATCCCACCACTAGAGAATGTGACCAGCAGCTCCTGGAGAGTTCTGTGCTGGAGGTCTGATGACCTGCCTCACTTTGAGAAACACTGGCCTAATTCTCTGCTGCTATCCTTTGTCCACTTTCTTACCTAAAAAGTTGTATATTCTCAAGATGTATATTCTTACGTCTTGATTCTTACATTTCCACTCTCTTCATGGTTAGCCCCTAACCATGTTAAGATTGTACTTTTGATGGTTCTTGACTGAGAATACATATAATGATAAAGATCTATAAATTCAGCAGTTTTTAAACTTATGTGAATTTTATTAATGCATATACACCTGTATACATTTGAAAGGTGGTAATGTAAATTCAAAACAGGCTATTTATTTAAAGTGTTCTAATGCTTGGTGTATGCACAGATTCGTGGATTCCATACTATCATTGCAAGCTGCCCTTCCCACACCCAGGGCCTGTGGTCTAAGAGTTGGGAACACTGATCTAGACTCATGGTTCTCAACCATGATGTCATGACACAACAGTATGTCCAGAGCAGTCGAACAGTGTTTAGCAGGTAATTTGCTATAGCTAAGAGCTAAAAATACCAAAATTTGTGAATGTTTTTTTTAAAAATAAATACAAGTAAATTCAATATTGTTCTTGTAGCACCCTCCCCCTTGGTCACATGCCTTCCCAAATGCTTTTATAAATGGGCAAGGACAGGGAGGACTTACAAGGCACCCATGCTGCCTGAACAGTGTCTTTAGTACATGATGAATACGAATATAGCATATGATGAAAATGATTACTATTAGCGTGCTTGCATTTTTTGTGTGTTTTGTGGAAATATGAGAATGCCTTAGGAAGCATACTGTGTTTATGAGTATCATCCAACCTATGGGCCTTATAAAAACATTTTTTTAACTAGACTGTAAGTCAATTGATTATTGAGTATTCATAGTACTGTGAGTGGGAGGTCCAGGACAGGAAAGAATAGGGAAGACAACATTCCAACCTCAGCAAGAGCAGAGAGGCATGCATGTGCTCAAAATCTTTGTCATCTCTGGGTAAATTACCCATGACAGTGGGCCTTACAGCCACCTGATGGATTGGGCTCTCTCTCCTGCCTTGAAGCTTTATGAGGATCTAAATGTTGCT